ATTAGGTGTATAAAATATTTTCAAAAACCCATTATATTTCTATTGATATTAATGTTGTGTAGGAGATAGTGTGTAAAAGTTTTTTAAGGGCCCATCTTATTCACATCCACATTAATATATATGTCATAGATATTCTCTTTCATTAATATATATATTAGGGATATTTTATCTCATTAATACATATGTCACCATGGATATTTCTTATCAACATTAATATATATGTTAAGGATATATTCTCTTTTTAATATTATTTGGGCAATATAACACTTTAGCCTTTTCTTTTTATAAAAAAGATTTATGGACTATAGAAAAAACCTTGAGTCCTCTAAACAAAAAGGTTCAAAATCTCTATTATTTGCTGAATATTTATTTTTAGAGTATTTTTATGTGATATTATTGTATTTAAAAAAAATCATTGATTTAACTATTGAAGATTTCTCAAATTTATTAAAATAGATATTTTACAAGTATTAGGCACCCCTCTCTAATTATCTTAATTAAAAAAAAATAGATCAAATTATTAAAATAAAAAAATTACTAATTATTTAAAATAAAAACTTTACACCCAAACTATTTGGAATTTTTACATCGACATTAGTTTTTTTTTTTCCATGAAGGTATCGTTATTTAGAAAAAAAACTGATTTATATTAATGATTCATCAAATGGATCCGGGAAGCGTTCGTTTTCTTGTCATTTCTATTTGATAATTTTCCTTGTTTTGCTTTTCTTGAAAAGTATGAAGTGACAAGTGATTTATGGTGTCTTTCCTTTCGTTAACAATGCTTTTTTCCCCAAGAATAAAATATCTTGTTCGATAATGGAAACATCTCGCTGTCCTTGTTATCGATCTAACATAGATAGGAAACTGCTTGCTTTCGAGTGAAGGGTATAATAATTAACATTGAGTGATTGATACCGATGATGGGAAATTTTCTCCAGGGGAAGTAATATATGAATTTAATTTGACTTTAACCTATTATTTTGTATATGTGTTTTGTTTCAATTATTAAAAAATTCCATGAGTTAATAACTTGTTAAATAACACTCCTTGTTTGAAATATTGTCTAAATTATGGTTACCGGTTAATAAATAGACCTAAAATATTTTTTTGATTTCACTCGGTATCCTCTCACATAACACATTGTTTTATTTTTATTATTCCTTAAAGCTTTATTTTAATTTAGTCACTAATTTTTTTTAATTTTATCCTTATATGCAACATTATTTTACATTTTTGTCTAATAATTTATTTTTATTATCTTATCCTGGAATTCTTGGGGTGTTAAAAAAAATATTTGATTGATGTTCAGTTTTGTAAAAATAAATTTGATTTCATTGATTAAAAAATATTACAAGTACAGGGACCCAAATTGACATTACAGGTGTAACAAAGGGTTTTATTCACTATTCAAATCTAGCCTTTTCCCTTTTTTTTTAGACTTAAGATTTTGTCAAACATTGTTTTTGATCTCTTTAGTTTGAAAATCATTCATTTTAATTAGTCCAGGACTTCATTTTCTTTATATATATGTCCTTGGATTTGAAAGAGTAGAGAAAAAGTTAGATAAGAGAGAAGATGTTTGGTCCGTTATATTTTGGCATCTAAAATGGATGATTATGGTATTAATTAATTTTATTTGATAAAATAAGTTTAATAGTAATGGGTTCTTTGTTTAATCATGCCTAAAAATACAATAGTGGGGCATTTTTAGTTTTTTTTTATTCGGTTAATTTTTAATTTTCTGGATAATTTTGGGGTGTTTTGGAGTTGGTAAATACTAGTTTTATTAAGGTTTTTATAATATTTTTTAGATATTTTTATAAAATAATTTCAAATTTGTACTTTTAAATCTAAAAATGTTAACCTTGATTTTATAGCACTTAAGATGATTATAAAATATAAAATTAGATGATATGTTATCTATCACTATAAGGATCTCTTGTACAATAAAAAAAATATTAAAAAAAAATAGATAGAAAGCTTGAGCTTATTAATTTGTAGAGAGCTAGTTGTGCTAGTTTACCTAAGGTTACATTTATGAACTTTTTTTGTTGTTTTAATTTATGTTTATTTTTATTTATTAAAATTTTAAATTAGTTAAAAATATTTTTATTTATTATTTTATTAAATATCATTTAATTTTTTTCTTAGTATGATTTTTTAAAAGCTCAACATTATTTTCTTTTATTTTATTTGGTTTAAATTTTTGACAGCATATATTTTTATTATCATATAACTAAATAATAATTGTTTTAGAAGAATGATATTATTAAGCCAATAAGGTTAATGACGATGTTGTTTGTTAATATTAAAAAAATATTTTTTAAATATTAAATTTTGAATTCATAATGAAAATTCTACTTGCAATTACAAAAAAGTATTAGCAATGTTTACATTAAAAAAATTTAGCCAGAATCACAGTGAAGTCTAAGTCAGTTACCTAGTTGTCATCTAATTGATTCATTAATTATATATGACATTAATAAATATTTTTTACATATAAAAAATTAGACCCTCATAATAGATAAATAATGTTCTTAAACTGAATTATATGACTCGAAGACTTATAAATATGAAAGGATTTAAATATTGGGATTTAAAAAGGTTTTTAATTATTTTAGAAGAGAATAGTGTTTAAATATTGAGAGAAAGTTTGCTGTGTCACAATTCAATAGACTGAGGCTTGCTAATCATGTAATTTGCTTGAGCAACGTAGGCTCTCGTTTTTGGTCATAAACGTAAGATCATTCATCTTGTTTGTTAGTGCGTATTCATTATATGTGGAAATTGTTAATTATTCAAAATACTCAATTGGATGGTTGCGATTTCTTGGCCCCTCAATGGAACAAATTCTATAAATGCTTAGTGTTGTTGAATAAATTATCCAACACATGAGGGATTTTGAATAATTAAGACAAATAGAAGAGAGAAATGATAAATTAAACACAAAATTATGTCCACTATCAATCTAGCGAGGCAACAGTGCCCTGTTAACCAATATTGAGAACGAATTTGTGCCATCAAGCAGTGTTCTTTCTCCGTACTTGTTCATCTGTGGCACCAATACAATCAAAATTTGGAATGAAATTCGTCTTATACTGCAAATTTTCTTGGTTCATGAACAAATATTTCCATATTTGGTTAAAAATAATGAAATTTCAGCTAATTAGTTGTTGGACATGTTAAACATAGTAAGTATGTTTGTAAGAGTGACAATATTGTTGAAGAGGTTCAATCTCAAGATTTTTAGATAGTAAGAAGATACGGATTGGTAAATGCATATTACATTAAAAAATATATATATAGTGTGTGGGTAGGGGAATGGCTAGATGATTTGATTGGGATTATCGTAGCAAGCAAGTAATTTTCTAGTGTTTTTCGATTTTTTGGTGAAGTTTCTTAAACAACAAGTTATTAACTCATTTAGCAACACTAGGATTGAACTAATTATGTTACAGTGATGATCAGATTGATGACGTGGAGAGGTTAATGGAGATAATAAAACAAGCAGCAAGGGAAGGTGCAATGGTAGTCTACACCTTAGCTGATCCTTCAATGGCTGAATCTGCTAAACTTGCCTGTAAGTTATTGGGCATCCCAGCTACTAATGTAATAGGCCCAATAACAGAAGCTATTGCTTCTCATCTTGATGTCTTGCCTTCTGGTCTTCCTCGTGGAGCTCCTTGCAGGAATTTTCCTCCTTAAGAGGATTATTTTCAACGAATAGAAGCCATTGAATTCACTATTAAACCGGGTGATGGGGTGTTACCTCAGAACTTGAACAAGGATGACATTGTTCTTGCTGGAGTTCCTGTACTGGGAAGAAGCCATTGTCGATATATTTGCCACAGGAAAGATATAAAGTGGCAAATGTGCGTATTGTGAAGGATGTAGAATTGCCGAAAAGCCTTTTTGAATTTGACCCAGAAAAGGATACTATCGCTGCTATAGTGTTAACGACGATAAGGAAAGCGAGGCAAAGAGTCCAGGTTTCAGTGAGGAAGTGAGGAGTACTATTCAGAGATGGATTGTGTCAGAGAGGAGTTGAAATTTGTTCCCAGGATCTTCTCACAGAATCCTGTGTGGCCAGTAATTGGTTAATGTGGTTCAATTTTCAAATGTTCAACTCACTGGAAGTTTTAAAGATTTGCTAGTGATTGATTCTTGATATAAGGTGCTTTTTACTTGTTTGCGATTGCAGAAGTGACAGGAAAGCGATTGAAGAAATATCAGCGGTTATGTTGAGGATATATCATGATCGGCAGCACAAATGTTCAACGCCACGAATCACCAAGCGCTGTTAATCGAAAACATAGCCATACATGTCCGACGACTGGCCTGAAAAGTATTTGGGTCATGGGATCACCTAAATCCATGAGTATAGCATGTCAAATATTTATATTAAAATAGTATCATTATTTTTTTTGTTTTTGTAAAAAAAGTAATTGGTGCTTACACCCGTGTTTATCAAGTGAATCAATCACTAGAAAATTTAGTCAAATTAACTGAATTTTACCGAATTGATATATAATTTAATTTAACTAAAAACTTAACCTAACCCGTGTCAGGCTTCGAGTCTTGGTTTTTTTGTCAACTTATTAGGCTGGATTTAACAAATATAATTGAAAATTAAAATTAATAAATATGTATTCAAGGAATGAGATACAGATATGGGAATGTAGTGAATGCAGCAAAGAGGTATACCTCTTCTTTCTTTGTGATTACCGAAAGTTTTCGTTTTTCACCTTAAAAACCATACTAAATGGATCAGAGTAGAAGTGCCACATATTTTCTTCTGCTGAAGCTAATGTCACTTTTGTATCAGTTGTACAAATGAAAGCGTATTGAGAAAATGGTAATCTTTTGTCAATCTTGAAATCTAGACATCTCTATTCTAGCGTATGATTTGAAAATTATCTGGAGAAAAACAGCTTTAATTAAGAGAAAGTGGTAATGAAAGTTCATGACGAGATTTATTTTAAAATTTTTTTCCCATGTGATCTCTGCTGCTGTGCAACTGGCCAGCTATCATGTGTTGTGCTGTCTACATCAGACTCATACTTGTAAACTATTATATTACCTTTTCCCCTCCACTTATACAGATACAATCATCATTTAGGAGATTGTTGTCACTTCATCAATGATATGGATGACAACCATTTGAGATTTCCCATGTTCTTCGTCTTAACACCTTTCCCTTCGCTCTTTTATTCTTGAATTTTGAGTGAGTATTCAGATTATTCAATGTTAGGCATTGGTGAAAATGTTCATTTTTAGGCCTTTTTCTTCTTTTTTTTCCAGAGCTGCTCCATGACTGCACATAGGGGGTAAAAGGTGAAAAGCTTCAGGTGCACATGCTTCTGCGCACATAAATTAACTTATTGCCTTTAATCTTACGGATGAGTGCTGTCTTGATCTTGTTTCACTCACATGAAAGCCATGTACAACAAAATAACAATCCAAGTGGGATTTTGCCAAAAGAGCAAACAGAATGAAAGCATGGGGAGCCAAAATAAAGCCAAAATAAAGGTTGAAAGACATCGAAAGTAACTATCTGATCCTCCATTAGGCTGTGTAGGGTTGCACAAGAGACCACATAATGGAACACATCATGTTTCTCTTCCATACTTCTTTAAAGAAGATTCCTCCTCCATGTCATACCACTATATACTCTCGTCTGCACCTGTAAGATTTTAGTGAGGGTGCTGAATATAGAATCCGTGGTTTTGGAAAGTTGTTGATTAGTGTTTTCCATCACCTTATCTTCTCTACTATATTGCAAAGCTTCATTGAAAAGAAGCCTATTCTTGCAAAAAGGATGCTCATCATCAACTAATTACATTCATCTCTGATTCAGTGTATACACTAATTATCTCCCTTCTATGAGAACGTGGTGCATAATGTTTCTGGTTTCAATCAAGGGAATTATCAATTGCATTGAGCTTCCCTATTGAAAGAGTGAGGTATATCAGCAACATTGTTCCCATACTTGACCTGTTGAGATGAAAATACATTTAGCACATCAAGTGTGCTAAAATAAATTGCCTGTAGACGAGCATAATGACATATGTTTGATCTTTTGGAGCTTTTTTAATGGTTGGTAACTTACAGAGTGGCAAAGAAGAAAAGAACCCTTTTGGGATCAAGGACCCATGAAGGTGAAGACCGCTTGAAACTATTTCTCCTAATGCATCTACTTTCTGGAGTGGCATTCATGTTTCCGGTCGTGATTGTGATTTGATGATGTAGTTGTGGGCTACTGGAATGATCTGCCGTCCCTACCGTTACCACCGCTGCCTTTTCTGGCGTGCTAGGCCCTATTAAAGCAGTTAAAGATTAGTAAATACCATGTCTATATACATGTAAAACATTTGATTTTTTGGCGTGTAGCATTTTCATCATCTTTCCAAAAATAAGTGCACATGCCTTCAACAATGGACAACTAAAAAAATGGATGATGCTCTGTAATCTGTACTCTATGTTAAATTAGTTAAACCCACCATTGTTTCAATTCGGTTGTTGAACACTCCATGGTTGACAAAATTGTTTGGTAACATTTCACTTTCACTAAGCGTAACTATTGGCCCCACTAACAGTAGTAGAACGGGTTTGTTCTGAGCAAATACTCTTTTGCTTATCTAGGACACCTAACCTTCCACAGTTAAACCTAAGTTTCTCATACACTCTCTATTATACTCGCCTTGGCAACATGTTGACGAAGGCAACGAAAAGGGCTAGCTAGAACAAATATCAGTAGTGCACATCAAGCTGCCCTCTCATAGATGGAATTTACCCTCCCAAAATTGGAGCTATTAGATATTACTGAAAACTTTTTACAAAATAACACCAAGCATGTTAATCTTGATTTGTTGTTTCTGATGTTTGCTTGTGAATTGCATAAACTAAATGTACAGAAGAGCAAAAACAAAACTAACGATAGAGAATTTGGAAAACTACTAAGTCTCTATAAAATTGACTTGTCTAAAAATTTCTGGAGTACTTATTTTGAATAAGTCTTCTATCGTTGAAGCAAAGTGATAACATGGATATTATTATAATGATAACAGAAGCAAAATCGACATGACGTGACCACAAAACTAAATTCAGTCTCTAATGCAAAAATGATACCTCTAGGTGAAGCTGAAGCAACAATAGCATCTCTATCACTAACAGAAAGATGAGAAAGATTAGAATTTATCTTCTTCTCGCCGCCTCCGCCCCCCCGCGGTGACCCTTTTCTGGAATGGCTCCTCTGCAACTTTTTTCATTCAAAACGAAATCATTAAAAAGGTAACCAAATTATTCAAACAAAATAGATCAAATTACTAATCTTCCATTGGAATCAATAAAGCATATAGATAATGATGATTTGACAAAAAAGACAATGGTTGCGATGGCATGCGTGTTGCTGAATCAACTACAAGAAAAATTATCCACAAGTAGACAAAAGGAGGAAAAAGAGAGAATAATAAAGGAAAAGTGAAAGAAAAAGTAGAAGAAACTCACTGTGATCCTTGAATTTGTATTGATATCTTTATTTATGCCGTGAGAGAATCTTTCCATGTCAATAACAAAGCTATCTGATTTCTCCTTTGTGCATTGAAATCCATTTATATGATCTAAGACTGAGATTTTTTGTGCTTCCATATGTTCTTCTAATGCGAACCCACCACCCCCACCAGCTTCACTTGATGAATCCATATCCTAATCCAAAATCAAGAACCCAAAAATTAGAAAGGAAAAATATAAGTTATTCAGTTGAGGAAAAAGACAACATGTATGAACAAGACAAACAAGTAAAACCATAAAATATACATTAAAAAAAGACAGACTCAAAAACCAATAAAACACTTGCACATTTTGAAATTTACAAGGGATAATTATTGAGAGAAAACCCATGTAGAAAAAAAATAAGAAGGAGCTTACCTACTTTGGATTATCCGCCATTTCCATTACTTTCTTGGGGAAAAAAATTATAGATAGAAAAGAAAACAAAGCAGGGTGTTTTATATATAGTAGTGTCACAAATTGCGTATCCAATGGATCAATAATCACTGCACACCACCTGATTAAGAGAAAATAAAGAGACACCCTTGTGCAAGTCAAAACTTAGAAAAACATTTTTTTCTCGTACAAAAAAAAAAACCAAAAAATAGAAAATTTTAAGACAAACTAAGGTAACAACTACTAAGACTTGTTCCTTTTTTATTTATTATTTTTTTCAACTACTATATAGTTGATTAGGAAAAAATGAACGCACAAACCTTAGCTAGCCCAGATAGACTTTGTTAGTCCAGAGTAGGTATTGCATCTCCTTTAACAAAACCCTGTTGGAATTCAGTATGGAAAGGGGATAGATGCATGTATGCACAGTTTCATTCTTTGTAGTTAAACTGACCTTTAACTACTGTGTTTTTTCTTATATTAAGAGAGAGAGAGAGAGAGAGAGAGAGTATCTTTCCTTCTCTCTTCTTTCTTGGAAGAGGAAGATTGAGAGGAATTCTGTTCAGAACAGAGCAGGGGAGGAACAGAAGAGAAGTAGGAATATGGTCATGTGCTGGTGTTTGTAAAGAACGAAATGAGAAAAGCAGGGGAGTTGTAAATGGGGAGGGTTTTTTTTTCTTTGGTATTTATACTATAAATTTTTTAAAAGTTATGTTGTTGTTTGTATTTTAGTCGTTGTTGTTAACTTATAAATTAGGTGAGCAGGTTTTTAAAGAATACATAAAGACGTCTGAAAATTTAAATCTTTTGTGTAGAGGATTTGCTTTTCCTATTATTCTCTAGGTTGAATTCTAGAATATAATTTGGTAACACAAGCATCTAGAGTTAAGGTTGTAATTTCAATAATTTTTTAAATGATATAGGTTTGAGTTCTATTAATTTTAATTTATATGATTATTATATAATAAAAGAGGGTTACGGACCTTTGTATTGTGTAAAATCCAGTTATATATATATATATATTAGACTAATTTAATATGGTCGATTTTTCTTTTTGGATATGACTAGATGAATTAATAAATAAAGAAGTTCGGCGACCAATTAATTTTGAAACAAGGAATAACACATAGAAGGTGTCTTGTACGCATAATTTTGTCTGAGATTTCTACTAATAATTTTCTTTTAAGAAAATTTGGATCCATGTTGGTAGATAATATTTTAACTACTTGAATTTAAAGACAATTGTAAACATTGAATATAAAAACTTTATCTTAAATAACGGATATTTATTTATATAATTATTATTAAATTAAATAACTCTTTGTTCCCTCTTTCTTAAGAAAAGAGAGAGAGAGTTTTTCTCTGTCGTACAAGATGAGTAATATTAATCTTGTTAAATATTCTGGACAAATTTATTTATTAAAAGATCTCCTTCATTAAATGAATTGAGATCTCATAATCTAGTATTGATATTTTCATTAAAATTAACATTATCCTATAAAATGAAAAATTTTCTTCCTATTATAAAATCATATATTGTACATGAATATTTAGATATCTTATTACACATTTATCATTATCAAATTCATTTGAATCTATATTTTCTTATAACCTTTGAACTTATAAGTATTTATATACATGACTCTATAAATAAAAATATTATTGAGAGAATTGTTGAGAAAATGTTAGATACCCGTGTATAATTACAAATCCATATGAAATAAAAATGTTTTCTCTCCATCCCCCTAATCTTCATTGTTCTTATATATTATATATACTTTTTATTAATTATATTATTTTATTATTGTATACTTTTTGATATATAGTTTTGTAATAAGTTATTAACATGAATTGCTCCTTATTTTCATCTTGAAATAGACAATCATATTTGATAAGAAGTAGAAGCACAAATTTCTCCTCGTAACATGAATTGCTCCTTATTTTCATCTTGAAATAGACAATCATATTTGATAAGAAATAGAAGCACAAATTTCTCCTCGTTTTCATCTTGAAACAGATAATCATATTTGGTTTGTAGATAAGAAGTAAAAGATGTGTTTTTTTATTGTTGTTGTATCTTTTATATTTTGTTTTCAAATCAAGTATATATGATGAAACCTATAACAAAATCTTCATTTTATATTTATATTTTTTATAATACTTTCTATGTTTTAAGATTTATTTTTATATTCCAAGATATATATATATATATATATATATATATATATTAACCAAATTTCTAACAATATTAATATTTTTTTTATGAAGTAACAATGACAAACCTTGCCAAACTTGAGTTTATAGCACTTGATATTACATGAAAGAATTATTTGTTATGGATCTTTTATACTAAAATTTACCTTAATGCCATGGGTCATAGAAACTTCATTAAAGATTATAATGAAGCATCTAGTTAAAATAAAGCAAAATGCATGATTTTCATATGTTATCATCTTCATTAGGAGTTGAAAATAGAGTATTTCACAATCAAGATCCCCTTATTTTTTGGAAAAATTTGAAAGAAAGATATGACAATCAAAAAATAGTTATTCTCTTAAAAGCTCGTTATGATTGAATAAATTTATGATTGCAGGATTTTAAATCAGTAAGTGAATATAATTCTGCAATATTTAATATCAGTTCTAAATTGAAACCATATGGAGACAATATCATTCATTATGATTTATTAGAAAAAATATTCTTTTTTTCATACTTCGAATAGGATTTAATGGTTGTTTAAGTTGTCAACTAGGTGATGTTGGACCAACTCCATATGATTTAATTTTAAATGAAGGTTAGAAAAGAAGTCGGCTTGAGAGGTTTTTTTTTTATTAGTGTCATTATTTTTTTTTAATTTTATCCTTAGAATATTTTTAATGGTCGGTAAGATTGCTTTTATATTGGCCAGGTCATCTACTTCACATTAAAATAACTCTTACATGATTTAGTTTTAAAGTCGAGTAGGCAAAGAGTATGATCAAAAGGGTTTTTTTTCAATCTTATCCTCATTTTTTTTTTCTCTAGTCAAGTGGATTGCCTTTAGATATGCCAAGTTGATTTGGGTCATGTCGAGGCAGCTTCCACTTGGCTTAATTTTAAACTTGGATTGTGATCCAAAAGAGTTTGGTTGGGAGATTTCAAAGTTGACTTACTAAGTTGTGTTTGATAACAATGTCAAATAATTCTATGTAACTCGGACATTTTTGTTTTTTTTTTATCTAACTTGCATAGTAGCTTAGACGTGTAAACTAATATTTTCTAACTAGATAGATAGCCCACATAACGCCACGGGTTGACCCAAATTTTTTCTATCATAAAAAAAATGTTAGAACGACTCAAGCATTCCTAAAGAAGCAGCAAAACTAAGAAGCAAAAAACTCAAGACTCGTGTCATTGACTTGACTGGCTTCAATAAGCTCATATAATTTTGATTATATGAATAAAAAAAACCACAACAATAAAGAAATTGATAAAAAAACTGGGAAAGAAAAAAATATATTAAAAAAAAATTACCTGAGCCCATCGAGGTCAACATGTCTAATCTTTGAATTAGTCGTAATATTAAGATAACCTCCTCAAAAGCAAATTGAATATACCAATAAAGTTCAATTATCAAACAATCCAATATTAAAGGAAAAAAAAGTTATAACAAAACCAATGAAAAAATAGAGTTGAGTCAACTAGGAATAACCTATTGACCCTGCAACCATAGACATATGATTAAGATAATCTCATAGAAAGAAAAATGAAAAAAGAAGAATAGTGGAGACCAATTCCTAATAAATAAAATGTTGAAGAATGATATTAAAAAAGACCAAAATTAATTTGTGTTAATATCTGAAACATATGACCCTATCATGAAACTAAGATTAACCCTATAAAAGAAAAGACAAATAAATAATGAAGTAAAATTCTCAATCACAAAATAATGAATGATGAAATCAGAGAAAAAATGCAATAAAAAAGATCTAAAACAAAAGAAAAGGTAACAAAAAAAAGAGACTAAATTTGACATAAAAATAAATCAAAAATAAATATTAAAAAATAAAATTAAAAATAAAATTTAATTAAAAAAATTAAAAAGAAAATAAATAGTAATTAAAAGAATATAAACTAAATTTTATATAAAAATTAAATGAATTCAAATTATAAAGAAGGAATTGAAGAAAAAAATAAGTAAAAATAAAATAAAAAAACAGATAAGCCCACATATGTTGTTCGAAAGGTGCACACTCCTTACACTTGTTGGCATGTGTGAGTTGAAAGCACTACTTAATTTCAAGAGTAATTAAGTAATTATAAAATCAAAAATCAAAAACACCCTGTGCCCAACTAAAATTTTTATTCATTTAAAGAGAATATTAATAATTTTATTATATAACAAAAATATATAAAAAAATCACTTTACCTTATTTAATATATGCTAATGCCAATTGAATTCCATACTCCTTTTTATTTAGAACGTAAAATAAAAACGTTGTTAAACTGTAGCAATCCGAATATTTGTCCGCAGCATATTACTTACAGCACTTAGTTTTATGTTTTTGTAATAGTATCCCATCCACAAGAAAACTCAACTTTTTATTCATTATTATCATTTTTTTGTTTAAAGAAGTCAAATATTTTCTCAAATCAATCATGTTACATCTAAAATATCAACACAAACTGCAACAGCTGTTGGAACCATGACATTGACTGTCTTAAAATACATGCATTATATTATTATTATTATTATTATTTTGAACAACCATGTATATCATTCATTAAAAAACAGATATTTGATGTGCTATAAGCGCCAGTGGTGGTCCAATAATTTCATACTATAAGATGCAAATAATTGAAAATTCTTTGCTACAACATCAACGCTGGCGTGCTAACCTAAATGCCAGGATAATACATCAGGCAAGCGTGACCAAACAGTAATCTTGGCGGCGAAAATGACCATCGCGTTATCGACAATTTCAAGTTCATAAGCTTTCAAAGCAGAACTCCATTAAACATTAGTGTATCCTTTTACAATTTATTACAATTATACATTTATATTATTATTTAATTAATTAAGTCAATGCAATTGATCAATCTTTGATGGAAATTAACCAATCATGTTAGTCTAAATTCCTTCGCGGTGAAGAACAACGGACACCAATGTCATGACATTGATGATGTGGGTTGGTTTAAGCTCTTGAATCAATGCTATTATTTATTAAAAAGTATATTGTTAAGCCGGCTTGGAACATAATTTAGAAAATAGCTTGTATTATTCGGTCCTCAAGTTAATTTAAGGGTTACTAGCTAAATCTAAATGAATAATATTTTTTTTTATCAAAATAATATTGTTTCATTTTTGCAATAATTTTTTTTTAGTGCTGCTCAAGCCAACTTTGGATTAGGTTTGGTTCTACAATTTAATTTTATTGGATCAATCAAATTATGAATCAACAAAGTTTAATTAGAACAAAATATTTTTTCTACTTCATGTTATAATTTTTTTTTATCAAGTATTCAGTCACAAATTTATTAAATCAACTCACCTAAGCAGGTTAGAGTCCTATGGAGTCCCACGTTATTCATCTCTTGGGTGTGGGGCTATTCCGCTCATGTTGAATCCATCCTTAGGAGGTTATGAATGGCGATGGTCAGGGATAAATCCAAACTTGATAAAATAAGAATCAAAGCATTTTCTTTTTCTTTTTAGGGGGATATCATAAAAATGCCATAATTGTTTTTTAATTATAAATTTACGAGGGATTTTATAAATTTTTCAAAGGAGAGCTAGAACCACGCCTGAGTAAATTTATCCCTGATAGTTATGCACTAGTCGGGTCAAAACATGGATAATATACCCACCACCACATCGATATAAAAACAAATTACAAATTCTATTTTCTCTTTAAAAAATAGGTAAAGGTCAAAATAAATTTATTACATGTAAGTATGAGCATTTGCATTTGATCAGTAGGTAAGAAGTATTTACATGGGCAGCACATGTCCTGATCGACAATCCATTATTTTATTTAGGGTGGTCGGAACATTTTATAATAAGGTTACACCTCCACCTCCAATTTCGACACCAATATTGTGTTCGATTGCATTAAAAAAACTGATTTGAAGATAGAAAGAATTACAAAAAAAAAAAACATATAGGAAAGTTCTTGCTTTTGGAATTGCAGACTCCACTAGCCAGCAGTTAGAAGCTGGAATGCTATTTGTTTATATGGACGGCAATTAATATATTTAAATGAAAGACGACACAATAAGTAATTAAACCTTGTATGCACATGAACCGAATCAAGATTCGGATTATATTAATTCAAGTTTATCTAATTAATAAAATAATTTTGATTTTTTTTAAGTTAACATTACATTGTTTTTTTAATAATAAAAAATACTCTCTTTAAAAGTTCTAAATCACTTTAATCCAGTAAGTTAACTTTTTTAACATCTAATCTAAATTAAATCAGATTATGTTTATAATTGTGGTGGTGGTGTAATGTTTTTTTTTTAATATTTTTTATTTAAAAATATATTAAAATAATATTTTTTATTTTTAAAATAAATATATCAAAACAATAAAAAAAAGTCTAAAAATATTAATTTAAAATTAAAAAAAAAAAAAAGAAGAAAAATACAGTACAAGGCAAGTGCCTTAATACTGTTGGGACGGCGGGATATGATAACTGTGAAGAAAACAACATTTTTTGAATGAGTGGCTTGTTAAGGAAGCATCCAAGAAATATTTGTCTTTTTAACCAAATTCTTCCATTTACAAGATATGGACCCGCACTATTTTACAGGGCTAGATTAGTTTTTGTTTTCTCATATATAAAAATATGGTGTTCAGTAGTTATTATAAAATTTGGGTGACACAATGAGTTAACATCTAACCCAACCAAACCAAGTGAAACTTAATCAAGTTAACTTTAAATTTTGTTTTTAAATTTTCATTCAAAATTAATGTGATTTCAAGTTTTTTTTTTAAATGATATTGTTTTAAATAAAAGTTTTATTTTTTTCTAAAGGATTCATTTCATTTTTTTTTTGAAAAATCTTAAACAATGTTATTTTAGAATAAACATGAGCTAATAAGTTAACTCGTGAAATTGACCCGCCAACTTGCCACCTAGATTTTAGGTTGGGTCAAGGACCGAACAGGTCCATGCTGGGTCTTATTAGCAAATAGTTCTTGTCAAGATGTTAAACTCCAATCTCAAGCCGGCAGTTATGGCCACTAATTATCAAGCACCGTGTGGTTTTTTTTTTTGTTTTTTTTTCCAATCCAATAATCTATCTTGACAACCATCCAGCAGGTAATTAGTAGTAAAAACTTGAAATTAAAAGGTATATTTTTTTATAGTATAAGATTCGACCCTATAATTATTAATATTAATTGTTATTAGAGATTTATTTGATTATTAATTTTAAAATTTGTAGAAATTAATTAAAATATATACAAACTAATCTAAATATCTATATTAATAAAAAAAAAAAACTAGCTTGACAAAGTAGCTTCTATAAACATGGCCACCAATAACGGAGGTGACCACAAGGCTGAAGGTCAATTACCCCTTTGTAATTGTTCCTTCTTTCAATTTTCGGTCCCCTCTTTCTGGAAATTATCACCATTCAAAGGGAATATAAATTAAATGAAACAGAACAAAACAGTGCTACGCTAAATCAAAATGAAAGGAGGGATGATATGCAGGCAGGCCAAATCGCAAAAGTACAACAGGTTGGCTCTCCTGAGTATCCCATGCATGGTTGTATCAAGAGGGTGTAGCATGCCCCTTGAGGAAGGAAACGAAAAACCTACATCACAGCTTAAGTAATTCAGACATACTGTCAATCAAATCAATGCCCGCCCATCTCTCTTTCCCCATCATGAGATTATCTATCTAGCAAGGAGAAATATCCAATATTGATATGTACAAATCTACAATAAATTAATTATTACCTTGAGACCTCTCTGAAATAAACAATATATTGGCACGCACAATGGCATGAAGAATTGTTCAATGCGAGTGTGAGGCCAGCAGCCTTACCATAACCTTGGTATACACTAAGAAAATACTGTATATTTCCATTGTAACATATTACTTAATTCTGATCAATTTAGTCTCAAGGAATTTACTTTATCATTTTCGTCACTGATTCATCAAACGTTTCTCAATTTAGTTCTTTCACCTGAAATCATATGGCAACTTTGTCTGAGCAAGCCAAATTCTCTTAAAAACAAGTTAATTTATTGCATAAAATTAGAAAAATAATATCCATTTTTAACTGGAGTAGTTTAAAAATATTTGATACTCTTGGATCCATTTGAGAAAAAAATTAGTTTAAAAACCCAATTAACTCCTTTTTTTTGGTACTTTAATATTATTTTTAAAAATAATTTTTATTTAAAAAAAATTTAAAATAATTTTTTTAAAATTTATTTTTAACTTCACCACATTAAAATGATTTGAAAAATATAAAAAATATTAATTTAAAATAAAAAAATAAAAATAAATTTAATTTTTTTAAATATAAAAACATTCCACATAATATCCATTATTTTTTTTCTATTAACGTGGATGTCCTTTTAAAATAAAAAAATAAAAATAAATTTAATTTTTTTAAATATAAAAACATTCCACAGAATATCCATTATTTTTTTTTATTAACGTGGATGTCCTGGCCAGTTTGCGCGTATCACGACTAATCTCACGGCCCACTGAACATCCTGCAAGCCCAGTGAACAGGTAAGGCACCGTGGGGATGACAAGCGTACCATACAGAGAGGACCCAGCAGAGACACGAAGAAAACAATTTTCCAGCCCCATTTTTATTAGGACTTAAACCAAAATTAAAAAAAAAAGCTGCATGAACACCATTTAGCCATAACCTTACAGGTCGAATATCCATTATTTTTCCAGAATGTCCATTTTTTTTTTTATTTACGTGGGGTGTCCGGGCCAGCTTACGCGCACCACGACTAATCCCCATGGCTCACTGAACATCCTGCAAGCCCAGTGAGCAGGTAAGGCACCGCAGGGGTAACAGACGTTCATAATAAGACTCGAACCCAGGTGCGAAGGGAGGGGACAAGCCCCTCCCACCATTGGGCTAGAACCTTACTTGCCAGAATATCCATTATTTTTTTTTTTAGATTAACGTGAGTGTCCGGGCCAGCTTGCGCGC